CAGTATATTTTTAAATTTTCTGATTCAGCTTTGCATGGGCTTCTCGAATATAGCCACGATCAAGATAGTTTGCTCCATTGTGATTTTTTCAAAAAAAGAACCCGAGACTGCAGTATCAAAATTTGAATATTTCTCACGGTTTCTTAGATACCCTATAGAAACAACCAAAATTGTCCACCATGTACAGTACGTCTGCTGGATCTGTGTCTATGAAAGGAATGCGGACAAAAACATTTAAATAAACAGCAATATATTTTATACGTCGACTTGATGAGTACGTTACCGCAAATCGCTCCGCCCACTCATTTTATTGGCTACTTGCAAATTTGTCGAATTTTTATTGATGGGACGCGTCGTCTAATTTTTTACGAAAAATATCAGGAGAATATCGTTTCCCCTCTCACGGATACCCCGTAGCTACAGAACGGACAGACGTACTGTACAGTATCAGGTTTGTTATAATGACTTTCTTAGCTTTAAATCAAATGTATTTTTCCGTTTGCGCGATCGTGCGATCCTTACCACTTTTCATCTCCCTAGCTCGTGTGTCACTTCTTGCTTTACTCCGATCGCATGTAAAAAAGTTTTACTGCAATAACTTCTGCCATTTTTGAATTTTATAATTAATGACATTTCTCACAGTTTCTTTTTTGAATAGATTTAGAAGAAGGTGCAGACGCGTTGCAAAATGCCAAACTTTCTACCAACTTTTATTATTTTCTGTACGTAAGATAAACTCCAAAAAGAAATAAAGTGTAATCATATTTCTGGCGCTCCTCCTGTGAGCTATCTCGATATTCATCTGGGAAACTTCGTTCAACTTCGGCGAATGTTTTTCCGGTAAGGAATTTTCCGACGTTTATCTTGTTGGAAAAATCGTCCCCCATTGTAGCCGTGGGGCAACAAAATAATTCGTCTTGTCGACTCGGTTTTGTTGATATCTCGTTGAAACGTGGCTTGTTTATTTATTTACGTTTTGTTGAGGTGCAAAAAAAACTTTGCTAATTAGTAAATCATTACACATTTATTATAATTTTTTCCGATGCACGTGATGAATCTTAATTTAAAATTGACTAACAACATATTTATTATATCATTTTTTAAAGAGTTTTACGTTTTATTTTTAATTTAATAACTAATATTTTAGTGATTAATTGATTTATTTGTTTTATAGCTTATTTTACTTATTACATATTGGCAAAAACTAGTCCATTATGAAGATTATTATAAGCGTTATTATGGTTTATTTTTTTATTGATGAACATCTTATAACGTCATAAGTGGTAATAACAAGTAGTAGGGTGCTATTAATGCACCAACTAATAATCACAAAATTTAATATAAACTAACTTTGAAAGTGCTTATCAATCAAACTTACTTTTGTGACTGCAGTAAAGAGTAATAAAGGACCTTAATTGTCACGTTCTCGTTCAAAATAGTTAAAAAAACAGGGGAGCTACAAGCTCTTTGCTTTCGGCATATTTTCAACACACAATTACAAGAAATGCAATACAAAAACTCGAAAATTTAGTTCTTAAAAGAACTGTTTGTGCTTAAAAGTGCAATTTTTAAAAAAAAGACTACGAAAATAGGCAAAAAACGAGAATTACTCGCAAAGATTCAACAACAATACGATATTATACAAAATAATGACTGACACTAGGATAATAATTGTCAAATAATAAAGGACAACATTGCTGAACACGGGGCAATGTGACCAATATAGCGATAATAAAATTCGGTTTAAACTAATTTTTGCAGCTTTAATGTAAATAAAATATCTGTTACAATCATGTGCTCTATAAAGTAAAATGAAGAGCTGCTCGGTATCTTAAATTATACAACAAATTTAAACATTTTTGCCAAAATTTCATTTAGTCAGGACTTATAAAATGACCGTCTGTCTATCTTGTTGTATAGTAATTATTATGCATAGTCTATAGTATTTAATTAATAAAAATAGTTTTATACGCGTGAATTAAAACACGTCGCACGACGTATTTCTAAGCCGTAGGTGGTGTTTTACTCCCAGCCCGCGTCCTTACCACCAGTTTTCGTTTCGCTAGCTCGTGTGTCACGGCCTTGAATTTTTACTCCCAGCGTGCGTAAATAAGTTTCATTTCAAAAAAATTAGGTTCGGTTATAATTTAGTTTTCCCCTTTTATATTAAATGGAAGGAACCATATAGGGATGGCCGTACTCCATTCGGGTACCTCTATCCACGTACCGAGTTTGGTTCAATCGACCCATAATTAAGAAAAATCCTGATAGGTTCCTCCATTTAGAAGCATCCGTTTGAAACACCGAGGGCGTCCATCCTGTAACTCGTCCACAATTATGCCGATATCTACCCACATTTTTCTTCAATATCAAATTCTTAATTCCACTCTGATAAAGATGTAAACGAAACATCCTATCCAACTTTGCAGGGTGGCACCGTGTGCAACGTCGCTCACATAGCCTACCCACCAAATTTGGTCGCGATCGTGTGTGTCACGGCCTTGAATTTTTACTTCCAGCGCGCGTAAAGAAGGTTCATTTAAAAAGATATATTCGAAGAATGCAATAACAGTACCGGGAATGGGATAAGTTAAGTCTTGTTAGAACCATTCTGGCACAAATCTAGTTTTTCTCCTAGTCGCAGTATACATAAATTAATTGCATGCTGAAATCATAACTGCAGAGAATAGACACTAACGGGGCAGTCGGTTCTTTCAAATGGATCTTTCAAAAGAATAACAATTGGCAATTTGCTTTAGTTGTATGTTCATTCATAAATATTTATCTGCCTTTATTATGGATTTGATTTTTGTGTTGTGTAATAAAATAAAGTTTTATTGATAAACGGGAAATGGGAAAAACTCAAGTTTGGGTATTGAGAAACTTTACGAGTTCAGCTTTTATTGGAAGTTTGTAGTGTGAAAAGAGATTGGCGTTTATTTTTATTCGTCGTTTTTATAAATGATCTGAAGATTTTATCGGAATTAATTTATTTTATTACAAAAAGAGAAACTATACTGGTACATTCAATGTATTCTACTGGGTGTGACTCAAAAGTAGCTTACCCCTATAAATCTTGTATTTTTTTAGATAATAAAACGAGATTTGGTATGTTATTATATGACATAAATTAGAATTGATTGAAGTTTTCAATTGTTTTGGGTCACTTCCTGTTTCACCGGAAATGACTACAACTTTTGATTTTTAAATGACGCCCTTGTTTTTTATTTCATTTGATAGAAAATGACATTCTGAATAGAATGGCATAGCATATGTGAACTTTTAACATTTTCAGTTGAAAAAATAGCATTTTAAATTTTAATTTAGAGTGTCATGCCATAAATGTAACGAAAATTTGACTCGAAATACCAAGCGTGTGGTAGCAAATTATTTATAAAAAAATCCTTTTCCAAATATGCTAATGAGCCATCCTCTTTCCATTTGAAAAAAATTGTGATACGATTAAAAAATAGAATTTGGGCATCTTTTAACCGGCGCGGCCAGGAGACGACACGAAAAACATTAGACGATCAAATCTATTTTTCCCAGGCTCCTTGATTAACAATTCATCTCACCAATCCAAATCATCATTGTCTCTGTGATTTTCTATCTTTCAAATTAACAAAACAAATGTCTAAACTAATTTGAGAAGTACAGTATGATCGAAAAAAAACGGCGTCCAGTTGGATTGGAAATGACAATCGATAACATTTCCCATATAAATTTACATATAAAATGACAGCGATCTTCATTTCATAGCAATCGCTGACGCCGTTTTTATTCGATCATACGGTATAAGGTACTTATATTGATATTTTATTTAATGGTTGTAGAGAAATTCAAGGTGTGTCTTAAATAAGTGCAAATATTTTCAGGGCTGGTAGATCTCGATAAAAGAAACATACAGTATGTCTCCGGATTGTCTTTACAAGAGGAAAAACTTTTTTATTATTGACATTTTGAGAAAAATTCATTCATAAAAAAAATTGCTTCGTTAATCCCATTTATAATTTTTCAAATTTCCGTACCGTTTTAGAAAGAAAATATTGTTGAATTTTTTCTCCCATAAATTAAAACGCGTTTCTATGGTAATATAATTTCGATTTCATTATTTGATGGATTATTATTAACAGAATTTTAATTACCGTAATATATTTGCTATTTTAAAATGTTAAAGAAGCCCAAAATTTGTTTAGTTCAATGCTGCGGAAAGGGTGGTAATAGTTATCGGAAAATTTGGTACTTTACAACATCAAAAAATATGACGTTAATCAAAATTAATTATAACCATCTATGATAGAATGAAATCGAAATCATATTACCATAGAAACGCCTTTTAATTTTTAGGAATTTTTTCTAAAACGGTATGGAAATTTAGAAAAGTATAAACGGTATTAACCATTTTAGAACAAGCGAATTTTTTTATGAAGAATGCATTTTTCTCGAAATGTCAATAATAAAAAAGTTTTTCTTCTTGTAAAGACAATCCGGGGACATACTGTATTTTCTCTTTAACGTTTTCCAAATAAGACCAAAATAACCGAGTTATTTTACTTTGAAATTTTAAAAAAATGATTTTTTGCTACTACATATTTTATTATAGTTAATCACTGTTTAGCCTTTAAACAAAGTTTATACAAACGGTGCAAGTGGGCATAAAAATGTTTTTGATTACTAGTCAAAATTTGACAGAAAAAAATCATCGATTATCATTGCCCAGCCATCTTTATAGCCTTTTTTCGATCGATCATAGGGTTTTACTAACGCCAATAAAAAGAAACATCAGATTAAACTTTTTACACAACCAATTTTCCGAACAAATGAAATCCTAATTTTGTTTTCATATCGCGTCCTTTCACGAGACTCTCCTAAAGAAACAGTCCCGAAAAAACATTAATTTAACGACAAGCTATTTGACAGCGCAGCGGGGCTACGTCCCGACCCGCCCAATAAATCGCACGACGCCGCAGCTTTTTCAAACTGTTTGTTTTCCTTTCCAGATGGATCTCAGTCCGACAGCGACATGGACGGGCAATTAAGAGAAAATGAGGAGAAGGAAAAGACTGACCAAAGTCAACAGACGACACCCACGACGCCTCCCAACTCTGGTAAATACTGATATGATTTATTTTTTCTTCTTTCTTGGTTTCCTGTTTTTCTATAGAGTATATACAGGTTGTTTCAAAAAACATGTGCCATCTCTCGTGGGGCGATTTCTCACGTAAAAATAAGATTGATTTTTCAACATAGGTCCGATTCTGCTTTGTTTCATAGCTACAGGGTGTTAATGTCTTAATATTTTTTCGATTTATTATAATTTTCTTCCAAGAACTTTTAGCGTTTCGGATGAAATTTTGAGGGTAAAAGTTACTATAAGTGCGACATATTTTAAAGCTAAAAAAGTGTTGACATAGTCACAACACTTTTGACATATTCACCAGTGACGTGCATATGGGTTATCACTGGAATATTATTTTAAAAAAAATGTATGCCACTGACTATTTTCTTTTGTTAGCGAAATAGTGTAAGCAGTTTAATGCCGATTAAAAGCTGCCTCTTGATATTTTGTCGACTTCGGCCTCCTTTGTGAGATAAACGCAATTTTATTAATTTGCCTTGATCCAAATCAAAAATAAAATATCATTAACTTGGAAAAGTTTTAAATTAGTATTCATTGATTCCTTATCAAACAATATGAAAAAAAGTTCCTATAAACATGGGTATGAAAATCCATAGTTTTAGAGTTACACGATGTTAAAACTTTTCAAAATTAGGTATTTTGTAATTATCTTAAATACCATTATTTCTTTATTTGAAATTGCTGTACGATGGACCAATAGTAATAGTAACTAACAGTAATAATATTTAATTATAAATTAGGTAAAATATATTATAATTTATTAATTTTATTTTTATTTATTTTGATTAATAATGGCGCACATGTTTTTTTTTTAATATTCCAGTGAGAGCCCATATGCACGTCCCTGATGAATTTATCGACACTTTTTTAGCATTAAAATATGTAGCACTTATAATAACTTTCACCCTCAAAATCTCATTCGAATCACTAAAAGTACTTGGAAGAAAATTATAATAAATCGAAAGATTATTAAAACTTTAACACCTTGTAGCTATGAAAGAAAGTATGAATCGGACCTATGTTGATATGAAAAATAAATCTTATTTTTACGTGAGGAATCTCCTCACGAGAGATTTTTTGAAACACCCTCTATACGTTTATTTCCGTATTTTAAAATTACTTAAATTTTTCAATACACTGTATAAAGTGTACTTGTCTTTGTCGAAGCTGAAGGGGGGGGGGTGTTATTTACTTTGGATATAAATGTAAAAAAATTAAATGCAGAAGGACTAAAATTTCAGAGGATGGCAGCAAAAAAATCAACTTGGGAAATAACGGACACCCTAATATACATACATTAATCTTGTGTAACCTGCTAGACATTTGAATCTATAAATGTAATTTTCTTAAGCTCAAATATTTTTTATTATAGTGGCATATAAAAACAAATTAAATGAAAATAAAAAATGTATTTTGTAATTTTTGATAAAAGCTGGATCTAAATTCCTTTCATTTAGAATTTCCAAGCATAAACATATATATTTCACAAACTCTGCATTTTGGCATTTACCTTATTGGGGAACTAGGCCAAGAATTTCTGTTAAATATTTATGACGGAAGTATGGCCGAATTCTAAATAAATAAAAAGGCCGTAAAAAGTTTGATCTAAATTCTATGCTTAACAATAGCTACCCTAAAGCTTTCTGTCCCCAACTCCCCATTCACAGGAATTTATAAAGCAATTTATGAAAAGACCATGTCCCTGTCATATAATAAATCATAAAGCAGAGCATATTAAGCAAAATGGAGCATATTCAACATATTTCATTCATATTTATTTATCCTGTTCTTATAGTTCTTTTATGTAGAGTTTCTTTGTGGTTATCCTATTATACAACTTGTTGATTCAGCGCGTAAAATTTGTTAGGTATTAAATTCATTATTAGGAAGCTATATATATAATCAAACGAGTTATAACATTGGACATTTAAGATTTATACTAAAAATAAAGCAGGATAGAAAATGGTACTTTCATTTATTAAAAATTCCGAGCGCAGCGCTGTATACGGCATAAATCAGAAATTTTTGCTATGTATTTCACGGTTTCAGTCTCGGTTACAATTCATGTTGATCGCATTAAAATAATATTGAAATCGTGCCTTTGTCATAATAGTACGAGAGTTAGCAACGTCGGAGAAACAAGTATTTTAAGACTTTTTTTACTATGCTCTCTAGAACAGCATGCCGGTAAACGTTGCGTTTCCTACTGCGCATTAAAAGAAGATCCTATATTTTTATTAGTCGTTTAAATTCCAGTATTGAATATAAACCGACCGAGTCTCCATAGCTCAGTTCATAGAGCTTCCGCCTCTCAAGCGAGGAGTCAGAGTTCGAATCCGGGTCAGGACAAAACCTTTTTTATTTTATTTTCGTTTATATTCTGATTGTAAAGTATTAAATATTCGTTTTTTTTTGAATCACCAGAATTATTTAATACTTTACTATCAGAATATAAAGGAAAATAAAATAAAAAGTCTTTGACCTGACCCGGATTCGAACTCTGAATCCTGGGTTCGTAGTCGGAAACTCTACGCACTGCACTATTGAGACATGTTCGATTTATATTCAATACTAGAATTTATAGGACTAAATTAAAAAAATATATATATATATATAGAATCTTCTTCCGATGCGCAGTAGTGAATGCAACGGGTATCGGCAGCCAGACGGGCCGCATGCTATTCCAGAGAGCACAGTAAAAGATATATCAAAGAGCCAGACGTCTTAAAATACTTTCTCGAAAACGTTGCTAGACTATTAGACTATAATATTTAAGTATTTTATTTTTTTGCTAGTGCAGTTATTGAGACGATAAAACATTCAGGTACGAGGTTTGTGTGATGTGTCGCTGTTTCGGGTAGTAAAAAATAAATGAAAAAGAATCCGAGCTAGGCATCGTGTTGTGTGTTGTGACATTTAAAATGTTAATAAAATTGTCGAAAAAATGTTAACGCGTAAAGGAGAGAGTAATTAGGACGTCGTTGGGTGCAATAACATTCAATAGCTTAACTTTATGGATATTCAACTCTCCCGAAACAACATTTTATAGCTTCATAGTTTCTCGCACCGATTTCGTCAAAAGCAAAAATGGATTCAAGTAGTTCGATGAAACAAATTGAGTAAACAAAAAGCTCGTTACATAGTTAAAAAATTAAATAGACATATACCTACATATAAAATATAATTTGCAATATTAATTGTATACTTTTTTAATCAACTAGTGGTTAAACGTTTTATGAAAATTTTCTAAAATTATAATTATGTGTCTTTAAAAAATTTCGTTATAGCCGAAATAGCCCCAATTATGACCCCACTAGCAAAACCGGTGCGTAAAACTTTCCGCGCTACCGTAGTTGAACTCATCTGAAATGTTAAAGAAGGTTTTTTAGCTGGAATAATAACTTATTGTACAATTTAGACCTTCTGAAAATATCAAAATATTTACTTCTTTGTTTTCATTTTTAGAATTTTCCCAAATTATACTTCCTAGCACTTTTAGAATAATTATATAATAATTTTTTCGTATATTCGTTGTTTAAACCCGTCTATTTGTGTATACCAGTTGTTTAAGATATTCTCCAATGGTGGCAGCACCGGCGGAGAATGCACCAAGTCTATAACCAAATATTAAACTCAGTTTAACTTCAACTTACTTTGCTGAAAATTTCACACCTCTACTTTTCAACCAATAACATGCTTTAATGTTGACTAGTTACCATGGCAACTGAAAAAATTTCCGGAAATTTTTTCGAGGCGCCACGAAACTTTAGTGGAAATTTTTTGACAGTTGAAAAGGTAAACATAAGATCTACAATCATAATGTGAATGAACTACAATGTCTATATATTGAAATATTACCCATTTGAGTTTTAGCATTTGATGTAACTAAGGTTGGTAATATTTTTTATTTAAGGAAATATGTTAGATATACCTACATATGAATTTCTTCGAAATTGCCATGTTCTAAAAAATATAGTTCTGCCGCCTTTATTTAACTAAAGCTGGTATTTTTCTATTTAACGAAATATGATGGATATATCTATATGATTTTTTTAGAATTTATTTCATGTTGAATTATCTTCAATGCCAAATCTTTAATGATATCGACTAATATAGCAAAATAATAACGAAACACATTTAGTAATTATAGGTTTTATTAATATTAAAAACACAATTATTGTAAATGTTTGTAGGCTGGCTTGAATTGGTGGTTTGAATCTGGGTATTTTCTGTTTTATTTTGCATTGTGCTCTGATCATGATTGAACTGGCTAGTACTTGATGAAATGCTCCTCATGGATTCAATCATCTGTTGATGATGTTCAGCGTCCAACTGTAAGTAAGGTTTGATCGACTGACTATTACTATGTCCAGTAATTTTAATGAGCTGTTGTTCACCAACTCCTTTCTTGGCCAAATTCGAAACAGCTGTTGCTCTTGCAGAATGATTGGTTATTTTAACTTTTTTAGTGTCAATTCCTATATCTGAAGCTGCTGATTTAAACCATGAAGATACAATGTTCTTACCAACTGGGCTATTCTTGTACCATCCTTTCGAATTGGGTTGATTCCAGTATGGGTTTGGTGTTAAGAATAGTCTGTCGGTTTGAATAAGATTTCCCCTTTTTTCCATCAACTTTCTAAACAAGCGAACCGGACACATTTGTGGATTTTCGAAATTTCTAATCAACCATTTACTATCCGACAGTTTTTTAGAACCACCTTGTGTGGTTTTAGAGAAAATTGGATTATATTCTATCCGACCTTTTGGGTTTCCGAAATTATCAGTTTCTTCTTTGAAGTATTGGATACAAGCAGAATGTCCTTCCCCTCCTCTCCATGCCAGCTCATGTGAAACTATGTGAAAAAATTTACGCTGCAACCCATCTGGAGTATTTTCATCCCACATTTCAATAATTTTTTTGTATTCGTCACTGGTTAAGGCTGAAGCACTCACTTTTCTTTTTGC